CAGCCCCCACTGTTAGATTTTTGAAGGTATTATTTCATTGTCTTTTAGCATGCTTTTTTTTGTTTTTACTGTTCAAGGATCTTTATCATTATAGCTCCCAATCTTTTGTATTTGGGTCATATTTTTCTCTTTGGAAGCTTTTAGGATCCATGTCATTTATGATATTCCATAGTCATGTGATATCTTTTTGCCTGTTTTCTTTTTTAGTCCCCCCAAGGATGTAATATCTTGAGGTAGATTTTTGCTCCCTTCATTGTGCTAGGCTTTGCCCTCTGAATCTTTAAGTTCACGACCTTCAGTTCTTCCTTAGTGTGGTACCCAATATTATCCTATAGCCGTTATACACATCTGGAAGCCAAACTATTGCCAGCTGTAGTATTTTAAATTGCTTTTACAAAGAGCAAACTTTTAGTATTCCTCCCAACTATTTGGGTCAAGTGGGGGTCATATGCAGGCTTTAATCCAGTGACTATCAGCCTTCCTAATGCTGCAACCCTTTAATACAGTTTCTCATGCTGTGGTGACCATAAGATTATTCCATTGCTACTTCATAACTGTGGTTTTGCTACTGTGATGAACTGTAATATAAGTATCTGATATGCAACCCCCATGTAAGGGTCATTCAACTCCCAAAGGGGTCATGACTCACATGATGAGAACCATTGCTTATACTGTTCTGTTTCTATCCCTGCTCACACCTCAGATGGTAGAAGTTACAATACCTCTAACTTCTCAGTTTTGCCAGGGTTTTGGGTTGGTTGAGAAAACTGCTCTTGCATTTAAGAGCACTTGCTCTCCAGAGGGCTCAAGTTAGGTTCTCAGCACTCATCTTGGCCAGCTAACAGCTGCCTGCTAACTCAGGGGATTTGGCACCTTTTTCCAGCCTCATGTGTGCATGTGCACATGTGGTCACACACAACTAAAATTATATAATTATTTAAAAATAAAATAGTATAAATGTTTTAAAAAATAAAACCTCTGAGCTGCAAGTGGTAGTGCATGCCTTTAATCTCAGCCAGAGGCAGGCAGATCTCTGTGAGTTCAAGGCCAGCCAGAGCTACATAATGAAACCCTGTTTAAAATAAAAAACCTGCTTCTCTACCAACATGGCTAACTTTTTCCTTGGTCATTATCCTCTAAACAATATAGTATAACATCTATTTACATTATATTATATATTGTAAGCAGTCTAGAGATGGTTAAAATATAGGGGAGGATATGACCAGGTTTATATGCAAATAGTCATTATGTTATATAAGGCACAAAATATCCATGATATTTGCAGAGGATCCTGGGATAAATTCTGAGGGTGACTGTACTAGTAGAAAAGTTAGCAAGATAACTTTGCATGTAGTTCCAGAGACCCAAGTTGATAGTGACCTTTGAAAAGTTTGCCATGGCACTCAACTCTGCCAGTCACTCATTCAGAATTAAAAAAAAATATATATGTTCAGGAACTTTTTATGGGCCAGTCTTAGAGGTGTGCATATCACTTTTACTCACATTCTGTCATCTCAAACTCAGTCACATGGCTCTGCCAAAAGAAAGATAGAATCTGGTTAACTGCCCAAGATGGAGGGAACTAGGAGTTTTATAAACATATATCAGCTGCTACCACTCCTGTGGTCTGTGAAGTAAAATAGTGTGAAGCACTCAAATTTTCTCTAGTTCAAGCCAGTTATTACTCAGCTATATGCTGTTTTGATGTCAAATTTTTTACAAAATCTATTTTCCTCTTCTCTTACTTTTTTTTGTTTTTTGTTTTTTGTGTGTGTGTGATTTAAGCCTTTCTTCTTTACTATAATGCTAGAAAAATTTTGGTTGGGAGCATGGTAAATTTCAGCTATATAACCTCCTAAAATCTGTAGGCATGGGGCTGGAGTGATGATTGAATGGTTAAGCAAATTGACTGTTCTTTCAGAGGACCCAGGTTGAATTTTCAGCTTCCACATGGTGGTTCACAACTATTTGTAACTCTAGTTTCAGAGGATTTGATATCCTTTTCTGGCCCCTAAAGGTACCAGGCTTGCACATACACATACATGCAAGCAAAACCCTCATACACATAAAAATGAACAAAAAAGTAAAATTTAAAAATATGTAGACATGGGGCTGGAGAGATGGCTCAGTGGTCAAGAGTACCGGCTGCTCTTTCAGAGGACCCGGGTTCAATTTCCAGTACCCACATGTCAGCTCATAACTGCCTATAACTCCAGTTCCAGGGGATCTGACACCCTTCACACAGACATACATGCAGGCAAAACACAAATCCACATGAGATAAAAATAAATAAATTGCAAAAAATATGTAGATATAATAAAATGATCAAATATCTGAGTTTAATATGGGTTACTTGGTTTCTATAAATCTGCTGTGGAAATTAATTGTATTTCTTATGTCTGGCTCCCTTATTTTTATCATTTCATTGTATTGGACTTTTTGTATTAGATTAAGAACTGAAACCAGATTTATGATTTTAAAAAACAAAACAACTAATAGAGCCACTCATTGGTGGTGTATGCCTTTAATTCCAGCATTTGACAGGGAGAGGCAGGCAGATCTCTGAATCTGAGGCCAGCCTGGTCTACAGAGTGAGTCCCAAGACAGCCAAAACCACACAAAGAAACACTGTCTTAAAAAACCAAAAGAAAAAAAAATAAGTATCCACTATATGTTTTTGAGTTTTGTGGGGATTTTTTTTCTTTCCAGAATCTAGGAATGTCAAGTATGCTCTTTAGCTTACAGAGAAAGGCTCCAGGAGAAAGGGAAGAAAATACAGAAGGATGACTATACTAGGAATGAATTCAGAGTGTTAATGATTAGGTTCCTCTAATAGATTATAAATAACCTGATACTGTTATGTTCAGCAAGACAGTGTAGAAAGAACAAGCTTTTGATGGGAGATTTTGATTAGATAGCCCTTAAAGACCCATATGCAAATTCAGTTTGTCTGGGAAGGTCCTGCTAAGTGGGACTTTTTAGAAACCACCTCCCTGCTTTAGTATGGCTCAAGCTAGGATCCATCTTATTAGTGAAAAAATATGAGATTTCTTTCTATTGAGGAACAAAGTGTTCTTACAGTATTGTGTCACAAAATCGGATTGAGTTAGCACTTTCTCTAGCCACCCTTATCAAGCTAAGAGACATACATTTCCTTCATCAATGCTCCTTCCTCTCCTCTCCCCAGGGATACTAATTTATAGCTTGCTTTGCCAAGAATCAGTGTATTTTGGGAATTTATTTCTTACAGTGAGCCACAGCTCTGACTCCTTTCTTCCTTTGAAATCTGTAAGGTAGCTTATAATAAAGACTTTCCCTCTACTATCCCCTTCCCCAGGACCTCTTGGGACCTACAGTTCTAAGAGTAATGTCTTACCCTGTGAACCAGAGGAGGGATGTGGTTGGTTAGAATCTTGCTATACTTTGAGAGTTTTGAAACATTATTATAAAGTAGGCACAAGATACATGTACATAGAAAATTTCTTAGGTCAAATGACTTAACCTAAAAAAAGAGAGAAGAAGAAATGTTCTAAATGGTCTGGAGGCTACTTTGAGCAGGAATAGAGAGGAACATTATCTACAAACTCAGACCTGTTTCCTGACATTTAGTTTCTTAAACATATATAGTCTGTTAAGTTCTCTCCTTGGTCATTGTCTGTCTGTTTTAACTCTCCACTTTATTGTTAACTATACTTAGTGGTAGAGTGTTTGACTAGAATGCAAACACTAGCATATACTATATTAAATCAATGCCATGGAAAGAGGATGTTGAGGGACAGAAGATAGGAAGAAGAGGAGAAAAATAGATTAATGAGTAACATGATAGGCCAAGTATTTTCAAGTTTACAGATTGCCAGTGAGGATGATTCCTGTGGGGTTTGCTTGGTTCCAAAATGTACATGTTAAGTTTACTCAGCCATGAATTACTGTCTTCCTATTTCATTAGCCAAGCTGGTTAACTCCACCTTTAGAAGAGCCAGGACCATAAGGCATCTGCAAAATAGATATGAAAAGTAAGACTATATAGTGTGACATTTAACAGCAATTAGCAGAGCATCTGAGTACTCTTGACAATCTGCCCTTTTTATAAGGCACTCAATGGACAGAGATCACTTATTCCAGAATAAAGCTTCTTTCTCCTTACTTGCCCTTGTAAAGGGAGGAAGGCAGAAGTCTATATCACCAGGCCTCTTCAGTTCTCTTAAGCCATAGTTGGCCCTAAGTCCATGTATTAGTTACTTCTCTATTACTGTGATAAAGCACCATGACCAAGATAATTTATTAAAGGAAGGGTTTAGTTGAACTTAGAGTTTTAGAGAGTTAGAGTCCATCATCACAGTGAGGAAATGTGGTAACAGACAAGCATGGTGATTGATTGCCTGTGAGCTGAAGGCTCACATCTTGAACCACAAACAGTTAGCAGAGAGGGCACAGTGGGGATATCGCAGGGTTTTGAAAACCTCAAAGTGATGTACTTTTTCCCACAAGACCACACCTCCTGGAGGCAGAAACTGAAGCACAGGCTATGGGTGAATTCTGCTTAAAGGCTTGCTCCTCATAGCTTGCTTCTCATGGCTTATTCAGCCTGCTTTCTATATGCCCCAGAATCACTTTCCCAGGCACAGCACTACCTGCAGTGCGCTGGGCCCTTCCACATCAACTGTCAGTCAATAAAATGCACCACAGGCTTTCCTATGGCCAACCTGATGGGAACATTTTCTCAACTGAGGGGCCATCTTCTCAGGTAACCTGAGTTTATGTCAGGTTGACAAACAAACAAACACAAAAACAAAACAAAACAAAAACCCTAATAATCCAGAGTAGTCTATTACATGCTGATTTATAGACCTGCCCTGAGAATATCAGTGATATCCTCACATGAGGCAAAGTTGGAGCTGCTATGTGGGGTTCCTTCATTACTTCTGTGGAGCCAGGGTGGGGGTGGTGGGAGAAGATGAAGTGACCTGTAAGTAAGAAGCCTCTGCTTTCTGTCCCTCAAGCAACCTCATAACATTCTGCAGAGGCGCCTCATGGAAACCAACCTGTCCAAGCTCCGGAGCAGTCGTGTCCCCTGGGCCTCCAAGACCAACAAATTCAATCAGGCAAAGTCTGAAGGGCTAAAGAAGTGTGAAGACGATGATATGATTTTAGTGTCTTGCCAGGTAATGTTCAGGGAACAGCTTTTCTAGAAAGTAGAATTTGGAGGCCTTTTATAATACCAATAGTAGGCCCTTTCCTTAAACTTTTACAGACAGTGGTTCTTAACATGAGATTAATAAGTGAGCTTTAAAGTTTTATATATTAGAAATACATGTAGTATTTTATATGTGTGCACATTTGAATGGGAAGAAGTACCAAAGCTTTTGTTAGATTTACAAAAGGATGTGTGATGTTTTTAAAGAGCTGGGATGTAGTTCAGTGGTAGAAAATTCATCTAGCATGTTCAAGGCCCTGTATTTGACCCAAGAATGATTTTTTAAAAGATTGTATATATAATATTTAGTATATAAAATGAAAGCCCCCATAGTTCCTTATGGGTATTCTATCCAGTTGAAGGTTGCTCTCAAACCATGCCTTTCATTTGATATCTGCTGCTTCTTGCTCTTTGCTTTTTTCCTCTTTTGCTTCTCTAGATCCTATTAAAGAGTATATTTCCTTCCCACAGTGTGCTGGAAAGGACCTCAAAGCTTTGGTTGACACCGGTTGTCAGTATAATCTCATCTCTTCAGCTTGTGTGGACAGATTGGGGTAAGGAGCCACATGTACTGGGTGCACATCAGATGTAATTATACTCCTTGTTTGAACATTATTTCAGGTTATATATGCTTGGATATATCCACAGAACCACAGAGAAACATGCAAAGTTTTTGTCTAGACCAGAACCAATTTCCTTAATAGAGGGGAAGTGTGGCAGTTGTCAGACAGCGGAAGAGATCCAGGACACTTTGGGCCTTCTGCTACATTTTGAGCAGACTTTTAGACTGTGGGATGAGAGAAAAAAGCCAGGGTTCTCCCTCTCCTGGACAGAGAAAGCCATTCTGTCTTACTGCCATTTCACTCAACCTTTCCTGTTACTTCTTTCCTTTTCCCTACTCTTTCTTCTAGAGTTCCAGATGGCCTCTGAGGTATCTAGCCTAAAATAAGCAGAATCAACTTAGTATTGTTTCCCTTATTTCCCTGTAGAGAGTAAATCATTCCTCAGACCAAATCTCTGCAATTAAACAGTTATTGAGGCAGACCAAGTGGCCTGTTTTGAACTTCATCCAAGACGTGCATATTCTCAAGTGGGCTTACCCAGGGCTTCATTTGGGTTCTAATGAGTGCATTACATATCTTCTACATCTGCCTTGTTCTTGCTCCCCATTACTGCTCTGCCTCCATGAAGTTGGCTCTGTGAATTTTGCACATTACTATCTAGGGTTGGGGTAAAGTAGATTCCAGAACTCCAGTGGGAAGAATCTTAAATTTGTTTTATTTATTTATTTATTTATTTATTTTTAATGTGGTGAAGAGATGAGGTATGTACAATGTGATGGTTCCAAAAAGGCTAATAATGTCCTGGTGCATAATTAGGCAGCAAACTGTCATGATTCTGGAGGAATTAATAACCATCTGTAAAACTGCAATTCGTTTTCTTTTGGATGGGCTGTAACACCAAAAGAGGAAATGGAGGAGAGAAAAAGTGTTGGCACAGAAAATCCATAATTAAGTATTTATCCTAGAACCCATAATAGCTTGGGTGCTAGCTATTCCAATCAGCTTATGTAATTGTGTGAGCCCTTGGTACTGTTCCTTTCTTCCCTTGCCCACAAAAGCAACTCAAATCAGTGAGAACTTTCTCCATAATATTCTTTTCTGGTACCAATATTAATGCACTTACCAAGTAAATGCCTGTCTCCGTTAACCTCAAAACCTAAGAAAATCTTATAGGAATAAACCGAAATAGAAAGGAGGGGTTAAATGGGCCCCTAAACCAAGCCTTTTTAAAATCAAATTTAATTTGTCATCTGATATCTGATACCCACAGATGGGTAAAAGACACATTAATTAAATTACCTCACACATATATGGGGATGTTAGGATGCAAGCAGAATTCTCTGAATGCATCAAAACTCCTTCTTCACAAATGCAGGTAGTGATGTAAGTGTCTTAAAAATAGGAAACAAGTCTCATGGTCTCTTTTGTATTCCCCTGGCATGTTTAGAAAAAAGATTGAAGTAAGTACAAGCTGGCTAGGCCAGGAAGACCCAAAAGAATCCCTATTGTGAATCAGAAATCTTTGCCAATGAGGTTATGATACCTTTCTGTGTTTCAGACTAAAGGACCACGTCAAATCTCACAAGCATGAAGGAGAAAAGCTTTCTCTACCACGGCATCTCAAAGTAGTAGGTCAGATTGAGCACCTACTGATTACAGTGGGGTCTCTCCGTCTGGATTGCCCAGCAGCTGTTGTTGGTGAGTTAAATTGGGGACTAGACCCATGTATCTAACATAAACCTTTCTGAGGTCCATGCCTGTAATACTGAATTCTTCAAAAATCAAAGGTTCCTATTTTCTTGTGCTGTATACCTTTGTACTAAGTTTACCCTTCCAAGTGCAGTAATTAAAATGCCATCATACCCATTTCTGGGGTGTTTTTTTGTTTTTTTTTCTTTCTTGAGACAGGGTCTTTCTAATAGTCCTATCTATCCTGGAGCTCAGTATACAAACAAGGCTGGTTTTGAACTCACAGAGATTCTCCTGTCCCTCCCCCTGAGTGCTGAGATCAAAGGCATGCACAAACATGCTTAGCCCAGCACATTATTTTTTTAATCTTTAAATATGCATTTACTGGTGGCTAGAGAGATGGCTCAGTGGTTTAGAGTAGTTCCTGTTCTTGCAGTAGACTCAGTTTAGGCTCCCAGCATCTACATGGGATGGCTCACAGCCACTTGTGACTCTAGTTCCAAGGGATCTGACACCTTCCTTCTTCTGATGTTCTCAGGCTCCTGTACACATATGTGGTATACACACATACACATAAACACTAAATAAAGAAATCTTTAAAAATACGATGGAGCTAGTGGAATTGCTCAGGGGATTAAGGTGCTTGCCACCAAGCCTGACAGCCTGAGTTTGATCCCCAGAGCCTACATGAGGAACGAGAAAACAGTTTTGCAAATTGTTCTTTGACTTCCACACGTGATATATGGCACAGGGGCTCCCCCATGAAATAAATACATGTAATTAACTTCTTTAGTAATAAAATATTATAAATCATATAAGTACACAAATGTTCTTCAGGCATATCCCACTTCCCTTTCTCACTCTTCTCAGTCCAGTTAGTCCCCATTGTTTCCCTAGACAGCTTCACTACTATTTTATGTTATCTGTTTATATATGATTTTGTGTATGAAGTCTGACACAAACAAATGAGAGAAAACAAGAAGTATTTGTCTTTTTGGCATTAACTTATTTCCAGTTGCATCTCCTATCCTACAAATGACATAGCTTCATTCTTCTTTATGGTTAAAAAAGAAAATCCATTGTACATATAGGCCACAAGGAAACAGACTTTCTCTACATTTACTTATTTACCCATTTGGGGAGGGGGTATGCTCATGGGACAAGACACTTGTATGAAGGTCAGAGGTTAGTTAGGTCTTTCCCTCTACCATGTGGATTCCAAGGGTTAAATCAGGTCTTCAGTACTGGCAAGCTCCTTGCCCACTGAGAAATCTTACCTGCCTAGAGACAGATATTTTTATGTGCAAGTTAAAATACCTCCCAGGGCACTTTTCATGAACTTGGTATTTGTAACACAAGTTCTAATAGATCTTAATAATAAAAGCCTGGAGTCAGTCATTAGGGTGTGAAGGCTGAAAAATCTGAGAAGCAGAGCAGCCAGCCACTAGAACTCTTACCTCTATAAAATCCTCAGACTGAAAAGACCTAGTTCCTATCTCTTCTTGCCTATATTTCAATCTCCACCCAGCCATCTCACTTCCTGTCTGCTTGTACAGACCTCCAGAGGTCTATGGTTAGCTAGTGGCTAGCTCTACCCTCTGGTCTTCAGGCAAAGTTTATTTGTTAGAGTATAAAGAAGATATCATCACAGCTATTGATGAAGGCAAGATGTTCTTACTTCTCTACCATAAATTCTTAATTGCCTGCTCTCCCTCTGTGCTTCTCATATGTTCAGTATTAGACTAACTGCCTAGTTTCTGTTGAAGGCCTCTTCTTCTTGAGTGAAAAACACTCTGGTTTGAATTTTGGCTCTTACCTTTTTTTAACTGTAATAATCTGAGAAAGTACTCAATAATAAATGTTCAACAGATATTTATTGGCTAGTTAGCTAGCTGATTTGTTGATGGGTGGGTGGATGGATAGATTGATGGGGGGGAGGGGGACAAATGAACCTAACGGTGATTAGGCTGACATCCAAGCCAGCATGGAAGTATCTGAATCTTACTGTTTTGTTTTTTTAGATGACAATGAAAAAAACTTGTCACTTGGTCTGCAGACTCTTAGATCCCTGAAGGTAGGCCAGAATCTACTTGTCCTGTGACCCATCCTCTCAGAGGCAGGGAACTGAGAGTAGCATCACTGACACGTGACCAGTGGTCCTCCTTTGTTTTAGTGTATCATAAATTTGGACAAGCACCGGCTGATTGTTGGGAAGTCAGACAAAGAAGAAATCCCTTTTGTGGAGACAGTTTCTTTGAATGAAGACAAGTGAGTACAGAAACCAGCCAGTGAAGACAGATCAATCTGTTATGAGTTGTGGATTCTCACACAGTGTGACTGTCAGTTTTCAGTCATAGCAGAAGTCTGCCCTTCCCCAGACCAGAGTTCACTGTCCCACAGAACTCTGTAGTCCACATGTTATAATAATTAAAAAACTAAAACAAACAAGACCACACAGAATGGAGGAAGAAATCAACAGCTCTTTAAGCTAGAGGTGTGTGTGTGTGTGTGTGTGTGTGTGTGTGTGTGTGTGTGTGTAACAGAATTTCAGTATATAGCTCAAGCATGGAATGGGGTGTGAGGTAGAAGTGGGGTATTGAGATAGGGTTTTAGTATGTATCCCAGGATGGCTTTGAATTTATGAGCCTCCTGCCTTTGCCTCCTAAGTGCTGGGATTATATGTGTATGCATGAGAAGTTTTAAAGCCATCAGATTAACTTCTTTGAATTTGCTATCAATCCTTTTTTCTTTCTCCTTTCAGCACGTCAGAAGCGTAATTGCAGCCTGGAACGTGTCTGCAGGTGCACACACACACCAGGTTGACAGACTGAGAAAACTGGGTTTTAACTAAATGCAGTAGTAACTTGCTCTGGACCAAGTCCTTCCCTTCAGTACATCCTGCAGGGGCTTCTTCCCACTCAGACCTTTCTAGACTATAGTTTGTGCTTAGAGATCTTGTCTAGTTAATGGCTTAATGGTTAAACAGCCATTGTTTTTTACTTCTTTGAATATTTAATTTATAGACCCTTTTTGACACTGCCAGGTCTCATTTGTGGCCTATTTCTCTGCTTATTCCAAGAATTTGCTTTTATTAGTCCAGTGTAGGGGCTGCCAGGTTCTATTTCTCTATAGATAACACTTAATTTTTAAATAGTAAAATATATAGTAAATAGGAACCTCTTTTTTAGCTGTTTCAAAGAGATATAGAAACATGTCTTGAAGTCTCTTCTAATGAAGTAATTGATTTTTCCAGTGCGAATTGATGTCTCAGAGAGATCACCTATTCCAGACAATTGAGTTAAACACACAGACAGGCAAGTGAATTGTCTAAACTTACACATTAAGTCAGCGACAGAAGACAGCCAGAATCCAGCCTGACATCCAAACCAAGGCCCTTGTGCTGTTTCACTTTTCACCAAGCCTTAAGAGGAAGGCAGCAGGGTGAGAGTGCAAAACACAGAGGGTCCTGATGCATGCGGGTTAGTGGTGGAGTTTGTGTCTAATGTGCACAAGGTCCTGGGCTCAATTGCCAGCATTAGACGTAGAGAGAGATGGTTGAGTGACTAAGAGTGCTTTCGCAGCAAGCATGAAGACTGCCATTTGGATCCCAGTACCCAAACAAAAGCTGGGCACAGTCCTACACACACCTGTGATCCCCGAACTGAGGGCGTAGAAGACAGGGTAACTGCTGGGACTTTCTAGCTGCTGGTCTAGCCAAAAGAGGGAGAGAAAGAGTGAGAGGGGGCGAGATTTCTCCAGAGACCCTGCCTCAAAGGAACAAAGTAGAGAGTGATAGAGGAATAGAGGACAACATGTTCCTCTGGCCTCTGTGAGCGTGCACAGGTGCACAGCTCCACATACACTCCTACAAATCCCTACACAAACCCTCTCATAGGCATATACCACAGAAGACAATGAGATGGGGGGGGCATAAAAAACAAGCTGTAAAGACAGTCTCTCACAGTGAATTTAACAATCTAATTGTCACTACGAGACACTGATTGCCCCTAAGAACCAGCCAGAATTTCTGTCTGTTTTTGTTTCATATAACAATGATCCAAGTAGCTGGAAAGAGAGGTAGAAAGGAAAAATAAAAGTCAAAGTAGGGCCAGGATAGAAGGGAGGGGACTGAGTACACTCGGTCAGTGGGAAAGCCTACCTGGGAAACTACCCTGGCATTGAAATAGAGAGTGAATCATCCAGGCAGGCAATTGAAGATTGGGAAATACCCCAGTACAAGGCAGTGTTATGAACCATCAAGAGCTGGGTGTGGTGCATGCCTTTAATCCCAGCACTCAGAAGGCAGAGGCACGTGAGTCTCTGAGTATGACACCACCTGGTCTACAAAGTGAGTTCCAGGCCAGTCAGGAACACACACCTCAAAAGACAAATAAACAAAATAAAACAGAATGGCCTTTATGACTGCCTAGGATTTCCTGACTCATCTCAGTGGTCTGGGGAAATTACAGGGAGGTTGTTGTTAGCTTTTGCTAGCATGTTATCTCAGGTATAGAGGTACCTATAATGGAACCTTCCCTTCAGTTCAGTTATAGAAATATTTGGCTAGTCAGAAACTATTCAACTGTGAGTATCCCTTTACAATGTTCCTAAGTCTACCCTTGGCTCATAGCAGTAGTTTTCAAACTTTGAATCTCGTCTAGTGTCCCAGCCATCCAGTCTGCCTATGAGAGAGGAATGTGCCCTTCCACTGAGTTTGTGTTTACCACAGCATCACACTGGCCTGCTTCTCATAGGCCAGAGCTGGAAGATGTCATTCCCCTTATTTTCCCTGACTCTTGACTGCAAGGGAAGCAGACTGCAGGCTCCTTCTAGTGTCTCCTTATTTGGATTTCTTAAGGTCAGGAATCCTCAGGTTCTTGAAAGATGCACTTGATCCTGGCCCTTTTGAGTTCATCACTGTATGGCATTAGAATGATTAGATGGCCCTTAGTGTTCTTTTGGTCCCTGAAAGTCAGTCACTGACTTTTCAATTTGGAAACAGAAATGGCTGGGGTGAACTGGACTACATGTCATAGTTCACTCAGCTCATTCAAATCATCTGAAATCTTTAACCAAATTACTTTAATCCCCAGGAACAAGAGACTCCCAAAATGCTTCAAGATAGCCTGGAACTCAGTATGTAGATGAGGAGGCCTCAAATTCATATATATCTGTCTGCCTCTGCATCCTGTCATTAATGCTTTTTAAATGCTGCCAAAATTAGTTAATCTTATAGCTTCTGTCTCCCCAATGTTCCCAAAGGGATACTAGCTCTGCTTTGGGGAGCTAGCAAAGTAAGAAGATAAATGAGTTTTTCTTAGTCAGAAATTTAGTGTTTCTAAGGGTATAAAAAAGTGTCTACTGCATCATAGTTTTGAGTCCCTGGGAAATAGTAGCCAACCTGTCTCATTCCTTAATAGATGTCACATCCAGGAAGTTGAAAAAATTACTTTTGGTATTCCTGTCTAATTTGAAGAGGGAATATTTTATGATTTTCCTTTTTCCTTGCTCTGCACACAGCTCACTAGTATGACTTTCTGTTCCTTAGCTCAGAGCATCTATAGATGGGATTACCTAGCTACCCTTACTCTCGTGTAGTAGAAATACCTTTTCAGGCTGGGGACATGGAGGAGATGAACTGGATTCCTCCCTCCTTCTGTTGCCAGGTCTCTCTGCATTAGCACTTTATCTGCTCAGTGTTTTTGGCTGTACTGGGCTTATTTGTGACACTGATATATCAATAAACTGGACCCTTTCCCTCTGTGTGCTTGTCTGATAATCTTTGTGCCAGGGTTAGGACCTGGAAAGTGGAGGAGTCAGGGCCCAATCTGACTGCATCAGCCTTCTGCTTTAAGGCCTGCTGAATGCAAGGCAGCTCAACTGTTGCTACTGCTTTGGCTCCCTCTTAAAGTCTTTGGACAGAGTAGTGAATCTCACTGAACCTGGCTTTGTGTCTATGAAACAATTTAAAAAAGTACTGAATTCACAGTATAAAGTGCTGGGTACTCACCAAGCCTTCATCTACAAGAACAGTCTTTTATGTTGAACCCATCCCAATATAGTGACAACTCACAAAAGCTGTCACTGTTATCCCAACCCTGCTCAACTTTCCACCACCTGTATTTTCCTAGCACTCTGCCCCCAAAACCACATCATTTGGGGCAGGATTTGTGCCTCTGGCAGCAGGGAAGGGACAGGAGGTCTGGCTAGACTCTAAGATGAGGTCTTCTTGGGAAGTTCAGGAGCAGGTAGTCATAGCTGCTCTGATTTCAAGATGACAACAGCTGAGGGACTGGAGAGAGGGCTTAGTGGTTAAGGGCACTGGCTGCTTCTGCATCAGTTACAACTGTTTTGTTATTTTAGGAACCCAAGAATTTAGCAGCCACAGTGGCATCAGCAGCTCCGGAAACAGACATGACATTCTGGCTGCAAGATTACTGGTACTAAGATGGACACTAGTCAGTGATCACATGTATGATAAAGCATGCTTAACGTGTTTCACAGAGTGCAGAAAATCTTGCATTTAAGGAAACTAAATAAGATGGGCAAACTGACAGGTGCACATGTCACAGTGACCACTTGGGCTTCTTAATTCTGACTTTAAGTTTGGAGACGGCTCCTCTTGCCTTCCTGATCATTGCCCACAAGAGAGTTTTTCAGGCTTTCCTGAGAGATGAGAGTACCCTGGCCTGTTAATCAAGAAGAATGGAGTAGGGGCTGGGGACTCTGCTTAGTGGAAAAGAATTTGCCTAGCATGTGTGAGGTTCTGGGCTCAACCCCTAGCAGGTAAAAGAAATAAGAAAGGGACTAGGAAAACCTACTTAAAGGGAACCCAGGAAAAGGGCAGGGAGGAGGACAGATGCTCAGAGTGCTGAGTATAAACAAAATGGCTCTAAAGTAATCCTGGTTAGAGGTCTTTCCTCACCTACCTCAGTTCCCCAGGGTCTGCCATTCGCACATTGGGTATCTCAGTCTCATCTCTCCAGTAGGAAAGAAATCAAACAAGGACTCAAGTACCTGTTATCCCTGTGACAACTAAAGGAATTTCTTTCCCTTTCCCTGATCCCCACATGAATGCTTAGATATTAGTCCCCAGCTCCAAAGATACTAACACAAAGGCCCACAAGATTTTGGTAGGGGGGAGCACAAATGCATATATGAAAACACAATTTTACCATAATGAAGTAAGTTAGGAAAAAATCTGCAAAACTGCAGACAGGTTATACTTGTCAAGGAAGTTTTTCTGGCATTAAAAACCCATGATCTACATGAATAGGTCGTACATGTATAAGCAGCACAGAGCAAGAGGAGCCGAGCTTTCCATTTCTATTAAAGTCAGCTGAAATTACATTTATTTTTGGTAGACATAACTTCTCCCAAACCCTCAGGATACCTGTGCCAGTTTCTCCCCATCACTGCTCTTTTTACCTTAAACTAAATCTCCAGTCTATGGTCAGTTACACTCCACTAATGGCTGCCACACTGTGCATTCTAGAACAAAAAAATTTTCTAGTAGCCACATTGAAGGTTTTTTTTAACAGAAAAAAATGATTATTTTAATACAATATATCCAAAAATACTTAAATGTTAATCATTATTTACAGTTTTTACTTTATGTGTATAGGTTTCTTGCCAGCATGTATGAATGTGCACCAGAGCACTAAGAGCTACTGGGGAACAGAAAAGAGGAACCACACCCCTAGAACAGGAGTTATAGAAGGTTATAAGCTGCCATGTGGGTGCTAGAAACCAAACTCAGTCCTCTCTTCAAGAGCAGCCAAGTGCTCACATTGCTGAGTCATCTCTCCAGCCCCAACTTTAACCACTGTTTTTAAAAGACTTTTTTCATGTTTTTCTCATGCTGACTTGAAATCCAGTACAGTTACAGCTAGCTCAGTTTACATTACTCACATCTCAAATGTTCTGCCCAGACTGAGTGTATCTGATACTTCTTCACTAAACAGATGAGGTGGTCCTGAATTGGGGACCCATGCCTATGGTCTGACATTAAGGAGGCTGAGGGAGAAGGAGCACTTGAG